TGAATATTCTAGCTTAGCAGAGAACAGTGTGCCAGGAAACAGACAAGCTGTGGGTAGAGGGGCTACACCCTGAAAGCAAGACAAGCCCTGGCCGTCAGCCCGCTGAGCGCAGAGAGCAGCGGGGCGCCCTCCCTGGACGCTGGGTACCACTCTGCGCCAGACTCAGCAGTAACCCCACTTCCCGTGCCTTAGCCCCCAGGGGGACAGGTGAGACACAGACAAGGAGATGGTGCACATCGAGCAGCCGAAGCGCCCGGAGGAGAACCAGCAGGCACGCAGGGTAAGGGATGCTCTCCAGCTGGGGTGACTAGGGAAGCCGTGGGATAGGGGCATCTGAGCCGAGCTGAGGGGAGCAGGTGTGGTGAGAAATGTCTGGGTGCCAGGCAGAAGGAACAGCAAGTGCAGCGGCCTCGAGAACAGGGCAGCTGGGAGCCGGCCACCTGCGGCCTGGAGATCACGGGAGAGCTCTGGATTTTAGGGCAAGTGATGGCTCTGAGCTAGGTTTGAGAAGGACCATGCTGGCTCCTGCCCCAGGCCAAGAGCAGAGGGGCTGGCTGGCTCTCTGAGAGGTCAGGGCCACAACCTCTGGCTGGGTGGCTCCAGCCCCTGGGATGGTGGCCTGTACGTATTCCCCGTCAGGCTGGCTGGGTACCTGCTGATCCACCCCCAGAGTTTTCAGTGTCTCACAGGGGAAGGGACTGTCAACCCAGGCACCAGTGCGAGCTCGCTATTGGCAAGAGTCACATGAGCCCCAGAACATGTCACGGCTTATGAAGGTCATGGAGCGGCAGTTTGGACAAAGCCCAGGACTCCTCACTGGCCTTTATTTGAAGCTCACCCAGCAGCAGGCCTTGCCCAGGAAGAGCTCCTGAATTAAGCTGCATTCACTCTTGTCCTTGAAAACCTCCGCCCCCCTCCCAGGAATATGGGAACCGGCGGAGGCAGGCCGCCGGGAGGGCAGCAGCTGAGGCCGCAAGTGAGTTTGTCACGTCTCCTTACAGCGAGAGTTCCCAGAGGTCAGGGACTGTGTCCCTTTATCCGTCCCAGAGCCCAGATGTCTGGCGACTCAGCAAATAGTGAATGTTGACGCTGCTGCTCAGGCTCCAGGACATCCCATAACTCTCACTGTTTCACCAACTCAAGGACACCGTGGAAACCGCACACCGGATTTTTAAAAAGCAAACAAACTGAAAAGCAATTAGAACAGATAAATCACAAATATTTAAATATTGAAGGCCAAAAATTGATGTCTATCTGGAAGACAGGTCTCCATTTCCTCTTAAAACCCAAGGGATGCTGCTGGAGCCCAGCAAGGCCATGTCGCCACACAGAGGCCACCAGCTCCCTCCTCTTGGCTGGTCACCTCGCTCTGCCTCAGTCACCCACAGTGGTTCCGGGCACTGAGGTTTTAAACTTCATTAAAATGCATTTTGATGCACTGAAGAAACCTGCACTGGCCCCAGGCAAATAATAACTTTACAAAAATATTTCACAAAGCACCTTCCTCCCTCGCTCCCTTTAGGGAAAAGATTGCTGCACTCAAAATATGAGGGGGAGGGAAAATTAAATAAAAAATACGTTGAAATAACAGCCCCAGAGCCGGGAGGGAAGGCACAGATTTCTGAGCCAACTTCCAAACTCGAACTGTACTGATTTGCCTTTGAAACAATCTCACTTTGCCTTCTGTTGCTTACACAGTAATTATCAAAGGCATCAGTGAAAAAAGCCCACTCCACCACTGCCGTGCCCAGGCCTGGCCCAGCCCACCTGCGGCACCTGCCAGCACCCTGCATGCTGTGTCAGTCGGGTAGAACCACCTCTAGAACAGAGCCTCCTCTCTGGTCCATGTGCCACTTATCTAATGCCAGAAGATGGACCGTGGCCACCCACAGCCCTGCCCAGAGTGAGGACGGGGACCAACACGACATGGACCTGCTCTGCTGGCTCTAATTAGCACCAGTAGCCCAGACACAGCACCTGCATCGGCCTGGGAGGCATTCCTTTGTTAGGAGACCAGCATGCCCACCTCCTGTGGAGAGACTCTAGGCAGTGGGTTTCTCCCCATCCCTCCTGCCCTTTCCCGGGAAGAGAAGCCTGGCAGAGTCATGTTGCCAGGACCACTTGGACATGACATGAAACAGGCAATCCCTCTTCTTAGCATCGGTGCTGGAAAGCTTCCAGATCAGAGTCCCTCTGGGAGGTCAGAGGAGATGGTGGGCGACTTGGAGGGCTCATGCTCCCATGGCCAGAGCGTAGACACTCAGAACAGAAGATGCAGAGCCAGCTCCGCATCCCCGGGGCATCTGGAGGAGCAGGGAGGGTCCTAGGGAGCACAGGAGCCTTTCCAGGGAGGGTGGGCAGGCGCTTCCATCAGGCTGCACCAGCTGCCAGCGATGCACTTCGATAACCCTTCTTCAAGCACCTCTGTATACGAGGCCGTGTCAGGCCCAGAATACATGAGAGCGCGCGCCAGGTACCACCTCCAACGTGTGTAAGGCAGACACACTCACAGGTTACTAATAGAGAAATATGGAAAGTGCCACACAAACCCAAAGCAAGGAACAATTCATTCTGCTGAGGGCCGAGGACAACACAGGAGGGAAAACTTAACTGAAACTTTCAGTGTGCCCATCACCCACGTGCAGAAGGGACAGGCCCTGCATGGACCAAGGGTGTCAGTGTCATTCTAAGGAGCTGAGGTTTTATCTTGCGGAGTGGGGGTCACTGAAGACAGAAGTGGGTTATAGAGAAAGGCGGAACAAGGCAGGGAAACCCCAGAACAGGTCAGGGAGTCATGGGGGCCCACTCTGGGGCAGTGGCGGGAGAGATGGAGAAGACGGAAGCAGGCAGGGACACAAAGAAATACAGGCAAGACCTCCAGACGTTCATTTGCTGACTCCAGAGAGCACGAAGGCACCAGGGGGGATGAGCCTGGGCCACTGGGCTCAGGGTACACCCTGGACGCGAGAAAGGAGCAGCAGGGGAGAAATGATGGGTTCCCTGAAGCTGAGAAAGGAGCAGCAGGGGAGAAATGGGTTGGGTTTGGACAGTGAGTTTGAAATGTTCGATACACGACTGAAATAAAGACTTGAACTCAGGAGAGAGGTAGGGACTAAAGATACAGATGTGGCGTCGTGAGTGTACAAATGGAAATTTAAACCATCAGAAAGAAACAGCTTCTTTTAAGCCAGAGCCCTCTTAGAAGAGAACAGAGGGCCAAGGACACAATCAAGGCCCCACAAGCACAAAGGGAAGCCAGGGAAAAGGCAGGGTCTGTGCAGTGAGCAGGAGAGAGAATGATGTCCCAGCACCAAGGGAGAGAACGATTTTTCTTCAAGAAAAAAAGGACAATTAGCATCAACACATGCTGCAGAGAAGCCAGAAAGGATAAGGGCTGAAACTAGCTGGGGATTTAGTAATGAAGAGTCCTCAGTGAATCCTACAACGAGAAGGTTCTATTGAATGTCTGGGGAGGCAGACGCCCGACTTAGAGGGTCAAGGAGAGGATGGGAAGGGAAGTGGAGAGATAAAATGGCAGCAGGAAAGGCTTGAGAAACTTGACATAAAATGAGAATAACAGCACATCTGTGAGCAGAGGGGAGAGTGGGCGATTCAGAGCAGGTACCTAGAGATAAACTAGCCTCAGCTCAGAAGAGAAGCATGAACAGCAGATAATTTGGGTATCTTCATGGTAATAGTTGAAACCATGCCCACAGACCACTGCTCATGGAGAGCACAGAGGAAAAACAAAGACTAAAGCAAGGACCCTGGTGTTTGAAAGGAGCTGGAGCAAGAGCTTCTCTTCCAGTCCCCGCCACCCACATCCAACTCCATCCATAAGCCTGGAATTTCCAGCCACATTTTCTTCTAGAAGGGGTTGCCCATATGATTAAGGCACATGAGGCCTTCAAGTTCTGGGTAACACTGAGGTTCTGTGAATGGTGAGCTGGTAAATAAAGGCAGAGCTTATAGGATCCAGAATCAAAAACACAGGTTACTCACCTGACCCTTCAATATTCAGAAGCTATGAGCCACGTCAAATCAATCAATCAGAAGTTGAGCCTTTCCTCTTGCTCCAGTAGAATACTGGCTAACATCAACACACGTACCGAGTAGAAATGTGGGTTATGCAAAATGCATGTAATGATAACCGAACAGAATAAACGGCTAAACAAGTTAGGATTCAACAAAGTGTTTCCCAAGTGAGTCTTTAGGACACTTTCATTAAAGTACAGTTAACATACAATAAAAGGTACAGACCTTAATCTGTTTGATGAGTTTTAACAGCCATCTATCCCCATGTAATCACAGCCCCAAACGAGATTCAGTATATTTCCATCACCCAGAAAGCTTCCTTGCTCTTTCCAGTCACTTCCCCTCCCCGCTCAAGTAACCACTTTTGACCACCATAGATTAGTTTTCGCAAAGTACGTACTTCTTTTGTTTTCTAGATCCATCCATATGGTTGTATCAGTAATTCATTCTTTCTATTGCTCAGTGGTATTCTATTGTGATAACAATTTATTTACTCACTTTTCAGATGGTAGCTATTTGGGCTGTTTCCAGTTGGAGGCTCTATATAGACATTCTTGTACAAGTCCTTTCATGAACATGCTCTTTCTTCTCTCTAAACACTTAGAGCGGAATTGCTGGATCAGAGTGTAGATGTTCAATTTCGTAAGAAGTGCCCAACAGGTCTCCAGAGAAGTCACACCACTCAATGCACCTACCAGCTGCTCCACAAGCGCACCGATGGTTGACGATGGCGGTCTTTCTTATCTGAGCCATTCTAACAGGTGGAGTCTCACGGTGGTTTCGATTTGTATCCCCTGACGAGTGAGATGTCGAGCACCCTTCCACGTGTTTGCTGGCCATTCGGGTATCTTCTTTGTGAAGTACCTGCTCCAAGTGCCCGGGTCTATTCATTCTGACAACGATACAGTTGTCTAACCACAACCACAGCCAAAATGTAGACAATGTCTACCACTCCCAAAAGTTCCCTTGTGCCCTTCTCGGTCAGCTCACCTCCACCTCCGATCCCCGCAACCACTGATCTGTTTTCTTTCCAGAGAGTTTTACCTTGTCCGGGATGTCATAAAAATGGAATCAGACAGTATGTAATCTGTGAGTCTGGCTTCTGTACACTACACATAATGCGCCTGTGAGATGTGGCCACGTTGTATCAGTTTGTTTCTTTTCATTGCAGAGTAGTATTCGGTGAAGCTGCTGATTCATTCACTAGTTGAGTGACTAGCATTTGGGTTTTCAGCTTTTTGAAATCATGAATAAAGTCACTGTACACACTCACACTCAAGTTTTTGGATGAAGGTAACTTCTCATTCTCTTAGGTAAATACCTAGAAGTGAGGTTGCTGGGTCGTATTTTAAGTGCAGATTTAAGATTTTAAGTGTAGATGTATAAGAAACTCTCAAGCTTCTTCCCAAAATGGCCATACCACTCTGCCTTCCCAGCAGCAGGGTGTGAGAGTATGGCATTACCCGGTTTTGTTTTTGCTTGGAAGGCATTCTAACAGGTGTGTACTAGCATCTCATTGTGGTTTTTAGTTCCATCTCCCTGATAATGAGGCTGAACATCTTTCATGTGCTTTATTGCTATCTGTATATCTTAAAGTGTCTATTCAAATCTCCTGCACATTTTTAAATGGGTTGTTTCCATATTACTGAATTTTAAGAGTTCTTCATATATCCTGGATATAAGTCCTTGATTAGACATACGCTTTGCAAAAGTTTCCTCCCAGTCTGTGGCTTCTCTGATCATTGTCTGAACAGTATGTTTGGAAGAAGAGAATTCTAAAATGTCGGTGAAGTCTGGGCTCCATTTTTTTTGTCTTGCAGATTGTGCTTCTGGTATCTAAGAAATCTTTGCTTGTTTCAAGGTTACAAAAAACTTTCTCCTTTTAATTCTGGAAGCTTTATAGTTTTAGAATCTAAACTTTGGCCTATAATCCATTTTGAGTTAATTTTTGTATATGGTCCAAGGTATGGGTCGAGGTTCACGTTCTCTGCATATGATGTCTACCTGTTCCCTGACGATTTGTTGAGAAGACTATCCTTTCTCCATTGAACTGCCTTCACACCTCTGTCAGAAGTCAATTGACCATGTATGGCTGGGTCTATTTCTGGACGGTCCCTTCTGTCCCATTGATCTATGTATGTCTCTCCTTTTGCAATACCACCCTGTCTTGATTACTGTAGCTTTATAGGAAGTCTCCAAAATCAGGCAATGCAATCTTCTAGCTTTGTTCTTTTTCAAAATAGATTCGGCTTTTCTAGGTCCTTGGCATTTCCATATAAAACTTACAATCAGCTTGTCTGAATTTTGTCTAGGATGGCACAGAATCCATGAATCAATTTAGGGAAAATAGGCATCTTAACAATATTGAATCTCTCAATCCACAGTATCACCCTCCTTTCTCTCAGCAACATTTTATAGTTTTCAGTGTAGAAGTCTTACACAGATTTACTTAGTTTTAGTCTAAAGTATTTGATGGTTTTGAAGTAATTGGGACTGATTTTTAAATTTCTTTTTTTCCCTAATATATAGAAATACGATTGACCTTGTATCTTGTAGCCTTGTTAAATTCACTCATTCTTTCATGTGGCGGATATATATATATATATCTGGAGTTACTTTGTCTGAAACTACAAAAGATGGGTGCTTTTCAACAATTAGAATGTGTACAAAGTTTCAGGAAAAAAAAAACTTGGAGAAAATTCAGTTTAATTGCACAAGTTGAGATGGCAACATTTTTACCTCTGAGATTTACTCCCTTCTCTTGTTAGACAAACACCCTCTTAAAACAACAGGACACCGCCATCAGGGAATTTGGGTGGCTGTGCTAACTTACACACAGCTTCAAAGTCATTTCTTCCACAATCACTTCTTTCTCCTGGGCAGTGTCAGTGCTAGAAACAAGGCTGAAGAACATCAGCGTTCCAGGGAACGAATGGATGTCTCAGGGCATCTCCACCGTCTACTATCCGGATATTTACTGTAAGTCTGGTAATATGACCCTTCTGGGGCTGGTAAAGAAATTCTGGATTTCACGTGTGACTTTTCAAAGAGCTCCAGGGAGTGGGGCTGTTAATAGCATTTCTTCCACCAGCACAAGAGGCACATGATAAGGTCTCAATTACAGGTAACTGACAGTCCAACAATAACAAACACACAGCAGTGCTTGAAATGCAAAGACCCCGGTTTAATAGGGAGGCAGCATCAAGTTTACCAAGTTTATGGCTCAATTACTGAGGTACACAGAAACAAGGAAATGGATCAACTGACCAAAGACTTGACAAGGGACTGGGTTTAAAACTTATTTCTGCCGCCATCTGATTTTTTTCCATCTTGCAACCTTATATAATTTGACTACAGTCCTCAGTCACATCTATGGTATCAACTGCTAACATCTGTCTGAAGTTAATTACTGCCTCCATCACAAAAGTCAAGTAATTATTTATCACACTAGTGTTTTTACCCAATAGTTTCAGACGTGCCTTCTTTATTATGAGGCAGTGAGACTATATGTGTGTGTGCATTTGCGTGTGTGTTCTATATATAATTTTTTAACAGAGAAATAACTCTAGAGCACTCCGCTGCCATTCTATCAAATGCAAGGCAAGTGATTGCTGAGTTCCCAATTATGTTCAACCTTAAATCACACGGTTTGGTCTGGTTGTATATCCAGCCCTACAGGGAGTTGTGCAAAGGCATATATTTGGCCAGCTTTCAAACCACGGCTACAAAACATGTGCTGAAGAAAATGATTCAAAATATTAAGAAAGCAGTCATTTATTTTAGAAAGCCTGTTCACGTGAGACAATAAGCTGCTTCCCAGAATAGGCTCCATCCATCAGGAACACACCACAGCCCAGCGCACACTGGCTGGAGCCTGCCTCTCAGCCACCACATGGCAGTGATTACCCTTTATCATCCATGGCGCATCTGAGATGGATAAGTAGGCTGCCAGGATGGCCCCCTGGCACAGATGACCTCACAGGAGCACGAGGTGGCACTGACACAGAAAGGGGATGCGAGGCAGGAGCACCTCGGGGCAAGGTCTACGTCATCCACTTCTCCGCTAAAAACAACAGTTCAAACAAAACCACCAGAGGCTCACGTCAACCAGGAGGCCTCCGTGTGATAAGAGGCTAGTGGTCCCTCCGGGCTTGGGCCAGCTGGGCCAGCTAAGCTTGGTCAACCGAAGCAAAGGAGATGCCATTTGAGGTGAGACTCGGGAAAATCTCTTTCCAGCGTCTTTCTGAACTCCCCACTGGAAACCTTCCGGGACATCCTGAGGGGCCCACTCACAAGCCAGCTCCACCCAGAGTAACTGTTCCCAATCACGAGCCCATCTCTCATCGTCCCCTGGGCTTTAGCTTATGTGCTGGAAAGACAGAACTTAGGTCCTCTCCTTCCATCACTACCGCCCGAGGAAGGGGCAGCAGATAAATCCTGGAAGGCGTATGTAATAATTAGTTTTCCCTAAATCAGGGCACTCTAACATTTAACAAATATTTAAGTTTTTCAGTCATCTCTAAGAAACATTTAATGAGCCAACCATGGTACCAAGACAAAGAACATAAAACTGTATTTTATTAACTAAACCACTGGAATCTCAATTTTCCTGAGGCAACAATTTGAATTTGTGGGGGTTTTTCTTTTCAGAGTATACCACTAAACACAACCAGCATCTGCAATGAAAAGGAAAGTTCTGGACCGGTGGTTAGCAGACATTTCTGTAAATATCTAAGACAAGAGAGGACGTCCTGGAAAAAGACAGCCAGGCCGTGTGTGAGCAGGAAATCATGTGGGCTCCTGTAAGGCTAAGAAAGGAGAGATGGAAGATGGTGAACGCGTTCTTCTCCCTGTGCTAACATTCACGGCCAGTGAAACACAGCCAGGTGTCCGCCCTGAAGGGCCAACCTCACTTCTCCAGGCTGGAAGGGAGGGCCCTGTCTGTTTCATTTTCAAATAACTGAACAACAAGGACCATATATACCAAATGTGTGTCAAACACACTGTGTCAAGTGTCCGTACACACTAATTTCTAATAGACCACATGGGAAAGTCACTGCCCTTCAGATACTTAATGGGATTTCTGACCACTAGCAGGCAGGAATGTGCAGGATCATGTGTAAACACTTGATGACAAACCAGCATATTAACTTCAAAAGCAATCAACCAAAGGGTCGAAGTGAGACACTTCAGGGATGGGCAGCACATGATTTCTCCATGTTAAAGAGGAAAACAGCTCCAGTAAAGACAGTTCTGGGGTTTTCCATGACCAAGAAACCAATGGCTCTCCCAGCTACCAGCTGACCCCAGACTCACCCCAGCTCATCACCACCTTTGTGCTGTCCACTTCTGACATGCGAGACCCTCCATAAACTAGTCAAAACCCATTTTTCAACCCTATCTCCCCACCTTCATTGCACAGCCCTCAATCCTGCACAAGGCCAGGCCCTTTCTCCACTCTGCCTGTCCTCACCCCGTTTGTCTCCTCCAGCCTGAACCTGTCCTCCAGTCGGGCACGGGGGGACCAGGCAGTCGATCACCCTGACTTGGGTGGCATCAGGTTCCGGTCACACACAGAAGGGAGAGATTGTCTTAAATTGAGTCTAATGAGCTGATGCTCAGCCCAGAGAAACTTGACTCAACTCTGCTACAGGGCCTTATCCATCGGTCTCAGTTCTAAAAGAGTCAGCACCTCACTATAAATTAACTGAGAAGTTACTGCTTTATTCACACAACGCACCCACTGTAGTGATGTGCTGATACAGGTAGCAACAAGAGTGGGAAGCTGCACAGGGGGCTTCTGCTCAGCAGACGGGCCTCCGGAGTTCTCCAGCCCAGTTCCCAACTGGCACACTTGAGACCAAAGAAAATGCTTCGACAGACAGCGGGGAGTGGCACAGTATATTTGAGATTCAGTGAGTTGGAAATACGATTCTTTTCTCCCTAAGGAAGTTGAACGTGAAGGGTTTAATTAAC